CTGAACTTACAGTGGGGAGAAATATAATAATTTATTATTAATACTTTAAATTACCTCGGAGCAAGTTTTTCTAAATGAGAATAGCTTAACTAATAACTAATAAAAGTAACTTAACGTTTTAGTTTCAAATGGCATAGTAAAATTTAAGGATTAGCCTTTTGTAAATAATTTGTATTCCGCTAGGTTACAGTAGTTAATATTCGGTTTGTTCTTATTTTTAATACCAATATGATATATTAAGACAATAAATGTTTACTTGCTTTTAAACATTAAATTAACAGGAAAAAATATTTACACACTTTAACATTACATAATTAGTGTAATTTTTAATTTACTGGATGTGGGATGATAAATTAAAGTGGGGCTCACATAGACATTGATACTTTGATAGTAATACTTATGTGCAAAGGAATGAAAATTGTAAAATGATGTACAGGAGTAACAAATTTAAGTTGGGCCCATGGATCATGATAGGAGGTGTAAATGGCAAATATAAGGGGTCCCACTATTTAAATAGCTCTAGTTGTGTGAGGTCTTTTTTTATCTCACAAATTTGTGAGGACCTTTATCTTACATATCTGGGTCCACAAAATTCGGGGACCCACACAATTGTGGTTCTTGGTAAGTGGTGTCAGGTGTGCTTATTTTGTCCACTAAAATAGATAAGGAAGAGTATTAGGGCATAAACTGAGATGTTTGCACTTTTCTGTCAAGAAGCTCCTGCGGTTCTCCCTTATTAATAGCAGTAAATACAAGTTAATCATCTTGTACTTATATGTCTCTTTCCCACCCTCTTAAAATAGGCAAATAATTTATCTGTAAGCCAAAAGATAATATAGAAGCAGCTAAATCGATAAATGAATCCATTTTGTTTATCCGCACGAGGATGAGCCCGCATCCTCATGCAAGTTTTTGCTATTTTATACTTTTCAGATCTGCAGAAGCTTCAATTTTCCTTCTCTGTCCACAGTCCAAATGAGAAGTCAAATGTTTTCTCAGCTTGTCTTGATCCTACTACTTTCCATCTGCTGTAGAATGAATGAAGTAGTGGCAGCTAGTTCCAGTAAATGTCTTCAGGATCAGAAGATGTTGCTGCTACAGCTCAGAAATAATCTTACTTATGATTCTGAAATATCCACCAAGCTGGTGAAGTGGAATCAGAGGATTGACTGCTGTCAATGGCAGGGCATCACTTGCAATGATGCAGGTCAAGTTATTGGTCTTGACCTTACTGATGAATTGTTCTCAGGCAGTATCCATCCGATAGCAAATCTTAAGTTTTTATCTGTAATCCGTCTTGATGGGAACAATTTATCTGCTCCAATTCCAGAGTTCTTTTTAGACTTCTCCAATCTAACTGTCTTGAGTCTAAGTTCCTGCAACTTGATAGGAGAAGTATCTCAGAAAATATTCCAGGTACCAACTCTGCAGACTATTGACTTATCACAAAATGAAATGCTTGGAGGTTCTTTACCTGAATTTCCTTCAAATGGATCTCTACAAACTCTGGTTCTAAGGAATACAGGATTCTCAGGAAGTATACCCACGTCCATTGAGAACCTTAGCATATTGTCACATGTTGACCTTAGTTTATGTAATTTTACAGGTCCAATTCCGTCTTCTATGGTAAACCTAACCAAGCTTGTTTATCTGGATTTCGACCGGAATAGCTTCACGGGTTCATTTCCACTTTTTAAGCTGTCCAAAAACCTCAGTTATATTAACTTAGCTAGAAATTATTTGACAGGAATATCATCCGACTGGGAAGTCTTTGAGAATCTTGAAGGACTCGACTTGAGTAACAATTCTATTTCTGGGCTCATTCCAGCATCATTGTTTTACCTACCCTCACTTTCATATTTAGATCTGTCCAGCAATAAATTTTCTGGCCAAATAACTGAACTAGAAAATGTGACTTCTCCACTGACAGATCTTGACTTGAGTGCCAACAAATTGGAAGGGCCAATACCTGAGTTTTTCTTTGAGCTGCACGATCTCTTAGATCTTAAACTTTCATCCAACAATTTCAATGGTACTGTGCAGTTGAAGAAGTTCACAGAGCTCAATAAGCTTGTAAATCTTGATCTTTCCCACAACAGTTTATCAGTTGACACAAATATAAGTGAATCGGAACATTCCTTGCTCCCCCAGCTGAACAGTTTAATGTTGGGATCATGCAATCTGCAGAATCTCTCCTTCCTCAAGAACCAATCCAGATTGTCTATGTTAGATCTCTCAAACAACAAACTTACTGGTGAAATACCAAACTGGTTGGTGGAGATCAATGATAGACTTCTCCGTTTTCTGAATCTTTCTGTTAATCAATTCACGCATTTTCAAGAACCTTATAGATTTGGCCTTCTAAATTTCCTTGATCTGCATTCAAATCTACTCACTGGGGTTATTCCATTACCACCACGTGCAGCTGCTTATATTGACTTCTCCAACAATAACCTTGCTACTATGATACCGCCTGACTTTGGCAATTATCTTGTAACTGCTTGGTTCCTCTCAATTGCAAACAACAAAGTTATTGGCAGCATTCCTTCTTCAATCTGCATTGCGCGCTATCTTGAAGTACTTGATTTGTCTAACAATACTTTGAATGGCACAATACCACCATGTTTAGCAGAAAAGAGCAACACGCTGAAAGTACTGAACCTGGGAAAGAACATTCTCACAGGAAATATACCTCGAGAGTTTTCTCATAATTGTCAATTACAGAGCCTTGACCTCAGTCAGAATTACTTAACAGGTGAGCTTCCTCGTTCTTTGTCCAACTGCACAAATCTTAAGCTAATAAATCTAGGAAACAACAAGATCAGGGATACCTTCCCCTGCTGGTTGAGGAACTTATCCAATTTGCGTGTACTTGCATTACGTTTCAATGGTTTCCATGGGAACATTGATTGCTCTAGAGGGAGTTCTAATTGGACAGCTCTTCAGATAATCGACCTAGCTTCCAATAATTTAGGGGGCATTCTGCCCCGAAATTCATTCTTGGAGCTAAATGCAATGACTGTTGACCCAGCTGTAGCGCATTCACGCTTTGATCACTTGCACTTTGAGTCTGTGTCTGTTAGGCCAATTTACTATCAGGACACAGTGGGTCTTTTTCTTAAAGGACAAAACGTTACATTGGAAAAGATCCCTGTTTTCTTCACCTCCATTGACTTTTCAAGTAACAATTTTGTGGGGGACATACCAGAGACAGTTGGAGATCTCAAATCACTTTATCTTCTGAATATTTCACACAACAATCTCACAGGTCAAATCCCTCCAGCACTTGGAAATTTGAAGCAATTGGGATCACTGGACCTCTCATTCAACAACTTAGGCGGGAATATCCCAGAAAAGCTTGCTAGCCTCACATTTATTTCCTTCTTAAATTTATCATATAATGAACTGGTTGGAATGATACCACGAAGTACCCAATTTGACACCTTTGCAGAAAGTTTCATCGGAAACAAGGGGCTGTGTGGGTTTCTGCTTAACATAACTTGCAAAAATGATTCGGCAGTGGCACCTTCAGAGCCAGAATTTGAGGAGGAGAAACTATTTTCAAGTACGGAGATTTATGTAAGCGTTATATTAGGGTTTGTTGTTGGCATCGGGATCATTGTTCTACCACTTTTGTTCTCTAAAAGATGGAACCACTTGCACAACAAATTAGTTGACAGATTGATTTTAAGGATATTTCAGCAGCAAGATCAAGAAGGGAGAACTAGTAAAAGCATTAGTGAAGCATCTCGGAAGAAGGCAGCGAGGAAATCAAGAGGCAGTCATTAAGTTCACAAGATGATTGCAGAGAAAGGTTTTTGCTTCTTATTCTATCCTCCATCCTCTAACACTTGCCTGCAGTATGCTCTTACTATTACTTCTATTGTTTCCACTCTGAGTTATCATATTTCCTTACCTCTCATGATTCATCTTTGTTGCTTCTTACATATGATAGCAAAGTAGTTTGCCTACCCATAAGATAAAAGCTACAAGAAAACACCAATCGTGCTTTCTACTTTGTACTTGTAGGCAACGCTCAGAGCGTAGTTATAATGAACCTGATAACAACTATTACCGACTAAAATGGCTCCTGCACGTTTTTTTCCTGAAAGTGAATGATTTAGAGAAAAGTTTATCGAAAAAAGCAGTTTAGAACTAGTATTGCGGCAAGTAGAGAAAAAAATTTACTGATAGAAATGCATGTAACACTCTCAAAAAGTAAACTACAGCATGTCAGCACAGCATTGTCAGAAGCCAAAAAAAAAAAAAGGAAAGTACTACTGCCTCAGGTCAACTTCGAAGAAGCATTTCAACAAGCACCTGCTCGGCATAGACAGGTGAGAGCTGTATTTATGCAACAAAATTCTGAATTGAACTCTTACACTATGTTTGAATCACTGTTTTATTAAGTATTGTATTGTATCGTATTGTTTTATGAATATAATGTTTGGATAGATTGTATTGTTTGTTATTGTTAAATAATATTTTGCTGTTTGGTTTGACCGTGTCGTGCTGTACTGTAACTGATAAGTTTACTAAAATACCCTCAATTGTTTAAATATTAAATTTATCAAAAATTATGCATAAAAATAATTTTAAAAAACAAAACAGAAGGAGGCAAAATACTTAAGAAAGCAGAATAAAGGAGCGAGACAGAAGAAGGCAAAATAAAGGAGCACAGCTAATTAGAATTGAGTTATAAGCAAATTAGGAGAAAAAATAAAACAGAAGGCAACAAAACACCTTTAACGTTGGCGGCAGAAGTTTTGGAAAAAAACAAGTAGGTTATAGGTTTGAGATTTGGAGTTAAAATAGAAATAAATGTAAAGGTTAAAATAGAATTGTTGAGCAATAAGTTAGGGCATAATTGGAAAGAAAAATAGGAAACAATCCCACCACACCAAATCGGTTGTTTAAAAAAAGGGGATTATTTAACAATACAATACAACCAATTTTAATGAAACGATCAAAACAAACATTGTTTTGGGATAACAATACAATACGATACAATAAGGAACAACCATCCAAACAAGCTGTTAGAATATGGTCTCATTATATTTAAAAAGGCATAAAAGGATAAGTTTCAAATCTCCAGCAACTCACAAAATATAATATAAGTACTTACATTCATTAAGATCTTTGCAGGCTATCGAAGGATGCTGGTAGGCAGACATTGATTTTCGTCAATGATTTGTCAAGAAAAGATTTGTTTTTTAAATTCTAGTAGGAGGGTTAAAAAACTATTTTCCGATTTATTCGAAAAAGTACCGACTTCCGTCCAAGAGCAGACCCAAATGTTTTTTCCCCATAAATTATGAGTGTCAAATTTAAGTGTTTTATTTTATTAAACCAAAGTTACTAATTCTTTTTGTAATTGAAAATTTTACTCAATTTTGCTTTGGTATCCTAGAAAATAACTCGTTTGATAGATATGGTGAATCTTTCGGGACCTATCCGAAAGAGAATTCAGTACTTCTTGTATTTGAACTGGTTTGATATTCAAGAATTCTTGTTTAAGCAGTTCATACCATCAATACATAGTGTTTTGATCAAAAATTTGATTCTTTTGTGTTTAGCAATAACATATTCCTCCATAGAGCTAAAGTCTAAAATATGGAAGAAACAAGCTTTCCATGACTCTACCACCCGGTCAATTCCGTGAACAATATATACCTAATAATAATATTATAAAGAATAGTATGTCGTCAGACTCCTTTAAATACAATGTGAAATGGATCTAACTTGTTCAATTGCAATGATTAGACGGTTTTCTTTGCAAATCTGCAAACTATACATTGGTTATTTAAGGGCGTTAAACGGGTGGGTCGGGCCGGGCCGGGTTGGGAAAAAATGAAACCGGCCGGCTTCCAATTCGGAACGGTTACGGATTAGTCTATACCGGGCTTAACGCGTTCGGGTCCATCCGGGTAAGTAGAAATAGCGTGGGGTAGCCACTTTTTAAAGTGATATTTACTTTTTATCCAGCATTTTTAATGCTGAGCAAAAGTAGCCACTACTCTATTAAAATTAATATGAAAAGACGAAGTTACCCTTTCTTCTATTTCTTTTCCTTCCCAAACCCTCTATCAAAATTTCAAAACCCTTTCTCCTGATCAAAATTTCCCAAACTCGTTACTTCTCTTCCCCATGCAGTAAGTTCTTCCCAACTTCATCCCACTTCCTAGACCCAAAGGCAGACCACTTCTCCAACTTTATTTATTTTTATTTTTCTTTTGGTTGGTTAGGTTCTATAGTCTTTTTATTTTTTTAGTTGTTTCTTTTTGTTGTTAACTTTCTGTTGTGTAATTTGACATCAATCTTATATGTAAATTGCAATTATTATTATTGTTATTTTTTTTGTGAAAAGATACAAATAACTTTTGATTTTCTGCTATGTTATGGATCCTGAACTTACAGTTACAAGTTCAAAAGTTAAGGACACTTGGTCTTGAACTTCAAGTTCCAAGTTCAAAAGTTTTTTTTTGTTTGTGAAAAGATACAAATAACGTTTGGTTTTCTGCTACGTTATGGTTCTTGAACTTACAGTTACAAGTTCAAAAGTTAAGGACACTTGGTCCTGAACTTCGAGTGCCAAGTTCAAAAGTTAAGGACACTTGGTCCTGAACTTAGAATTACAAGTTCACAAGTTAAGGACACTTGGTCCTGAACTTAGACTAACAAGCTCAAAAGTTAAGGATAATAGGTCCTGAACTTACAGTTACAAGTTCAAAAGTTAAGGACAATAGGTCCTGAAGTCATGAACTTAGACTAACAAGCTCAAAAGTTAAGGACAATAGGTCCTGAACTTAGGCTAAGAAGCCCAAAAGTCAAGGACAATAGGTCCTGAACTTACAGTTACAAGTTCAAAAGTTAAGGACAATAGGTCATGAAATCCTGAACTTAGACTAACAAGCTCAAAAGTTAAGGACAATAGGTCCTGAACTTAGGCTAAGAAGCCCAAAAGTTAAGGACAATAGGTCCTGAACTTAGACTAACAAGCTCAAAAGTTAAGGACACTTGGTCCTGAACTTACAGTTACAAGTTCAAAAGTTAAGGACATGTAGTCCTGAAGTCCTGAACTTAGAGTTCCAAGTTCAAAAGTTAAGGACATGTAGTCCTGAAGTCCTAAAGTTAAGTTCAAAAGTTAAGGGCATGAGCAGAAGGGTATTTTCGTCCGGGCAGTTAAAGTTTATTAAAGCAGTAGCTAAAGACTAAAGACATTTTAAACAGTGGCTTAAAAGTAAATACATGTGTTATTAGTGGCTAACCATGCACTTCCCCTTCCGGGTAAAAAATGAACCGTAAGGCTACGGGTCCAAGGGGCCGGGCCGGGTTACTGTTTTTTTTTTTTGTATTTTGTATAACTATCGTAATTTACATTAATATAAAGTAAAAATATAAAACAAAAAAAACAATCTTATAAAAAGAGTGTTTGAATAAAAGGATTCAAAGGCTTTAAAATCTTTATATTTGAAATTTTGAATATTTCATTAAGAATTTAAGATAATAGAATATAATGAAGATAGAAAAAAATTGCACCTATAATTTGCAAATTCTTTTTTATTTCAAACTTACAAATTAAAGTTTACATTTATGATTTAACAACAACTAAATTAACGAAAAAGGAGTAAAACTAAATTTTTATTGCATAACATTACTTTAAATTAATCTAACAAACTAAAACATTAAGCATAAATGCGTCTAATAATTTTAAAATAACACAAATTATCTCAAATCAACTTAAATACGAATTTCTGGAGGACGCTCAAGACAACTCTTCATATGTCTCCTTGAACAACCCGTGCCCACCCACTTTAGATGAAGATTTAAGACTAGACCACAGTTCTTGCACTTCACTTTGTGAACTTCTTCATTTTCTTCTACCACCTCAAAGTGTTCCGAAACATATGATAGGTGAGAAGGGTTCAGTGTAGTCCAAACCTTCTTGCTGGCTGTAGCCTTTGGCTACTAGCCTTGCTTTATATATCTCCCCATCTCCTGTGGATTTGTACTTAACCCTAAACACCCACTTGCAACCTATAAGAACTTTGTCTGGAGGAAGGTCTAAATTGTCCAAGTATTATTGCTCTCAAGAGCTAAAATCTTAGACTTCATAGCATCCACCCACAGTGGATTGATACTGGCTTGCATAGGTCTTGGGTTCTGCAATTGCTGAATAAGCAACTAATGAAGACCTGTAGGCAGGAGTGAGGTGGTCATACACCACATAGTTGGATAGTGGATATGGACATGAGGACTTCTGTTGGACAACATAATCTCTCATCCAGACAGGTAGTCTAGATTCCTTTGAGGATCTTCTAAGTTGTACTGGCTGAGAAGAAGGATCCCTGACAGTAGATGATGGGGAAAGCTGGGAGGCATCACGATCAGAAGTAGNTGCACTTCACTTTGTGAACTTCTTCATTTTCTTCTACCACCTCAAAGTGTTCCGAAACATATGAGCGCACTCTAGAAGTACGGGGCATGATTTAACTTGAATTGAAAATTTGAATTTGATAAATGAGAGATGAGTGAAGAATTGAAGAAGAGTTGGGTGTATTTATAGTTTTTCAAAGGGCTAAATTAGTAATTACTACAAGTGTTATATTTTAAAAAACATTGCCCAAAAAGGACTGTTCTTGCAATCAACCCATTGGGCAACGGTCATATGACATTTAAAAAAAAAATCAGAAATCTAGCCGTTAAACCGGTCCGGGCCGGTCCGGTTAACCGGTTCTACAAAAATTTTTGTTGACCGGGTTTGACCGGTCCGGTTAACCAGATGTATTAAGGTGAACGGACCAACCCCCCTAACCCAGCCCACCCGGCCCCCTAAGTACCGGTCCGGGTTTCAACCGGTCTGGGCCGGGCCGGAAACGGGTCAACCCAGCCCGTTTGACACCCTTAATTGGTATAAACTTAGTCCCCGTTTAGCCATAGATTTTGTCAAGTTTTTCCAAAAAGTATTTGGAAAAACATTATCCAATTTTTGGCAAAATCTGTTAGTTTATAGACTTTATCCAAATTTTGGCAGATTTTGAAAACAAAATTTCCAAATTCAAAATTAGCTCTACACCAGTTTTTGACCTAAAATATTACTGTTGGATTTTTTAACAATTTTAAAATTACCCCAAACTTTTGTATTTCATTACAAAAAAAACCACCATCTATTATGACCCAACTAATCCACCAGCTAGTTACTATCATTTATTTTACTGATGGATCTTGTAATATTATTGCAATTGAAGAATTGTAGTAGCTAGTAATTG